TCTATGCAGTGTTGTTTTTCACAACTCGAGTGTTGAAGGGTTTCCTCATTTGCATGTAAAAATGGATTCTGTTTGTTACTGGATATACTTGTCTTGGCCAAATGCGTGCTCTCTCAGGCTTGTTTTCGAAACAGAGCACCTGTTTTGTGAATGTAACTATCGGAAAGCTGTCTGGAATAATTGCACTCTAGTAACTTCAGCACCCTCAAACATGGCATGAAGCTCTATAGAGATTTTTTTTTTCATGCCTTCCTGTTGAACTTCAGTATAGGGTTTGCATTTCCTTTTTACACAAACTGACTTCACTTGTGGAAATAAATGCCAAGTTTGGTAATCCCCTCCAGTGACTGCCAAGATGCCTCAGGCAGGCTGCGTGCCAGGGGAGCCCAGCCCTGCCGGGCAGCCCGTGCCCTCTGCGGCGTCCCAGAACCCTGCAAGTGTGGAGGGCTGCGACCGCCTGCTGTGTGCTTGGTTTTGTATATGTTTGCAGCTTGAGGATGTTGTTACTCTTTGTTGGAAAATATTACTGAGCGTGTGTTTGTCCCCTCGTGTGAGGGGGATAGTCAGATTTAAGAAACTGGATAGCTCAAGTCTATATGGAAGACCATACGGCAGAGCTCCTTAGGGTAGACGTGTAGGTGGAGGGCAGAGCAGAGCAGGGGTTTGTGCCAAAGCGGCTGGTGAAGCAGGAAGTGTCTAGCTGCTGCTAGAATTCATCATGGGGGTTTTGCAAAGACTGAGAATTTTGCGGCTCGCTGGCTGGGGAGTGCTGGGTCACAGTGGTAACTTGGGGTCTGAGTAATTGGAGACAGCTTTCTGCTGCTACGCCTAGGTCTTCATTGCGCAATTGGAGCCCTAAGAGCCGGCACAGCGATGCTGCTGGGGACTCTGGACCAGTCACTCAACCTCTCGGGGCGACATTTGCATGTGACTCAGCCTGTGGTAAAGGCTCTGGTGCCGCATTGAACCTCTGCACTGGCAGGGCTCTTCGTGGTACCAAACCTGCTCCGCACAGCAGGGACCCTGTGGGTGGCTGCAGCTAAAATTGATGTAGCTGAGCACATCCTGAAATGGAAATGGCGCTTGGATAAACTTACTCCCCTGGGATCTGTGTTGTACTTGCACATTGACACTCCGGCGAGCTCGTGAAAGTCACTTTGTATTTGCGTTACTAGACACAAATGGGACAGGTGTTCTAAGAGATTGTTGTACCTAAATGTAGCAAATGAGGAGTAGATTTTTCAAAGTGAATGAAGTTAAAAGGTTAAAAAGAAATCAGCAGAAGTACTTGGTGGTCAGAAGCATTCTCTTCACTCACTTCGATGGGAAGAAACAAGTATCTCCCATGCTACACTTAGTGGAACTCTGCCAGGAAAATTGGTGCAAGTCGCCACTTACATCTAAATAAAGTCACAGCAGCCTACGGGAGTAACATTAATATTTTTGTAATGTCTTAATAGCTAGAAGAGAATGGTGCTGCTTTCCTCATTTGATTAATAATACCCTCTGTAATGTGCCAAGGTAGCTATCATTTAATGCACTTTGCATTGTCTGTCCATACACACTATAGACAGAAAAAAAGCATGTTTCTCTGCTCTTTGGTCAGACACAGATTACTTTAAAACAAACAAACAAACAACCCACAAAAAAGAAACAAACCCCAAACAAACAACTTCCCCCCCCCCCCAAAAAAAAACAACCCCAAACCCCAAACAACCCCACCCCAACAAAGACTAAGAAGTCTATAAAGAAACTATAATTCTAAATGGACTCTAAATGCTATAATTACACTTCTGCTGCACTTAAAAATTATTTAAGTACCACATGCACCTAAAATTCTGTGGTGCAGCAGAGACATGGAAATAAAGCCTTTTAAACCTCTTCATCTGTAATTTAAAAAAACTGACCATTGGCACGTATGCTAAAAAGAAAACATTTCCAATGTGAATAATACCTTTATAAAAACAGCTTCCTGTTGTTCTGTGACTGTTTGCAAACCTAACTCAGGTAGCCTACTTAGATTACTTCATTGGCTGTGAGTATAATACAGGTTCTTTTGCAGTTTCCTGTCAATATAAACTGCATTATTTGTCTGCTCAGCTTTCTCTGTTTTATATAGATTGGTTAAAATCCCTTATGATTTAGCACGTCATTCTCTTTCCTCCTATTCCATAGAACTCAAGTAACATATGAGGGCTCCATAGTGATTCTTGAAATACATGAACAATGTGTGGGTGGAATTATTGTGGGTTCCATTAAAAGAGAGTAGCAATATCTCATAAAGAACAGGAGATTATTTTTTGCTTCCCAAACTGTACTTGTACATTGATTTAATACTTTCTTTTACTTAGTGACTATGGGAGGAATCTGATGCCACCCACATTTTGTCATTTACATCATGTTGTCAAGTACAGATTTTTGAAATCCTTGCTGTTAGCATTCCTCAGGAAGGGGTAGGTGTGAAATATGTCTATTTGAAACCAAATTCCACGGTTATAGTCAGTGCTTGACTGGTCACCTAGGAAACTCTCAATAATGGATTCACTTGGCTTGGTGGTGCAGTCTGGTATGATCAGATTTTTTCCAGTTGCCTCTAATTTGAAAAGGCAGTGCTTGAACAAAAATTAATCATAACTTAATCTGTTCCATAGAGAAAAATCCTGTCCTCTGTCTTCAGTTCTGTTTTAGTCATAGTCTAAGATATGTTCTTTATTCATTCTGTGGTGACTCCTGTAGAATTACTTTAGATTGCATGACCTTTAGAATAAACGATTTTGAAGGTATTGAACCATTATTGCTGTGTTTGTCTGTGAGTCAGTGCATCTGTGAACGCATTGCACTGGAATCCTCTGTGGAGGTCCTCCTGCCATTGAGATGGACTCATGGGTTCTTCTGATTCTTGCCTACAAAAGGCTGCTAGCACTTAAGTGGGAAAAAGATGGAGCAATTAATCTGTGAAAACTGTCTTTCTAAAGTTTTTGGGTGTTCAAGTTGAGTTGATGGAAGCGTTTCAACTACTTCCAGTTTCTTCTTTGCTGTGTATTGTATTGCAGGAGTGTCAGTCTGGTTCAGTAGCGCCAGCAGTTAAAATCTTCACTGGGAGTGTTGAGGACAAGAAGCACTGCCCTCTTGTCGTGTGTCCCCCCCACCTCGCACCCCCCCAAAAATAATATCTATGGCAGGATGTGAGAGAAATATGCAAAATTGGGTGTAGTGGGGAGTACAGGTAGCGATGTTGTTTGTAGCTGAAGAATTTGGGCAGTGTCAGATAAAAACTGTATGAGCCCTGCTCAAGGCACAGAACATTGTTTTTTCTGGAGTAGGTACTGGGCACATGGTGCTGTCACTGCTTAAAGGTTACATCGGTTCAAGGAGTGACTAGGTAAGAGCAAGGTCATTAAGTGGACAGAGTGTTTTGGAATATACGGAAACCCCATCCAGGTCAGGAAAACCTGTAAACTGAGACTGGTAGAAAAAGCAGAAAAAGCGTCATATATGCTTGTCTTATCCTTGCTCTTCCTCATGTATGCTGTTATAGCTGCTGTTGAGGATGGACTAGTCAGACCACTGTCTGACCTGGTCGGAGTGTTCTTGGAAGTGACCTGTTGACTAGGGCTGAATCTAAGCCTTATTTCAGTGGAAAAAACATCAGTGGCTCCTGAGACTAGTCTCCATAGTTTGCCTGCTGTGGCTATTTTAGACAGACTTGAATTTCATTGGAACAAGTGTTTTTTTATGTTGCCCTGCAACATAATGCAGATTATGTTAAGATATGTCTCTGCTCCTACAGGTATTTTTGCTTGACTGAGCAGAGGTGTACTTGAAGTGCCCTGGTACTTGGCTCCAGAGCATCACATGAGTAACTTGCAAGGTGCATTTCTTCTACAAAGTGGGAAGCAGATCATCATCTTGTGTGTTAACTTTGCTGGTGTCAAATAAAACAAAATGGCAAGCGATGATTGATTTGAATACACTCAGGATGACATCTTGGGTGTCTGAGGGCTGCTAAGTCTGTGGTGGTGGACAAGGCTGAAGGGTTAATAGGAATGTTTTTCACAGCAGCCACTTCGAGCACAGTAACATGTGCTAGAAGATAAACCAAGAGGATATTTTTTGGGAAAGTGAAGCAACAACAGGCACTGTGTCTGGAATGCTCATTAGAGGCAATTAATTTTACTTTCTTGTAAGGATTGATCTCATGGGCTCTGTTTAGAGTGCAGCTGTTGCTTGAAGTCAGACCAAATTGAGGAACTGCAACGTGCTCTGGGATCCAGGCTGGTCTGATTAAATACTTGATGTTGGATAGAGGTACTGTCTTCCTCGTAGCTTTGAATTATGTACCTCGATTATGCAGCATGTTGCATAGGGTGCTGAATGTTGTTCAGTAGTTTAATCGGGAAGCTGTTTAGTGGGAATTCGTGGCCTCATTTGAACTATGTCAAAAGCCCTTCGATATGAAAAAGAAATTAGTTGCACAGTCATTTGCCTGCATGCAGTAAGAGGGCAAAATTAGCACTGCTATAATTTACAGAGGCTCTGAATAAAAAACCAAAACCCTTGCTCTTTTGTCTCAGCCCAAGGGCTTAAAAGCACTAAACGCTGCCTGTTGGGAGACTGGTTTCCATGGTTGTGTTGTTTTTTTTGTCGTCCCCCCGCCGTTTTAATGAAGAATATAGAGAATATAGACCACTTGCTTTCAGGGGAGTTACTGAGGTTGGGTTAAGTTCTCTGGTACCATTCAGTCCTGTGATAAGAGGTCACAGGATTAGCTCAGACTGAAAAGTAATGTTGTTTTTGTTTTGAAGATTCCTTCCTGTCCAGTAGTCATACTGGCTTTGTTTTCGTGTCTTGAGCTAGTTGTTTACAGAGCAGATAGATTTTTCTGCTTCCTCTTCCTGAGGATAATTTAAAATACAGCACCCTTCTCCATAGTAGTTCTTGTTTGATAATGTCTCATGCCTATAATATGACAGTGTATTTGCCTCCTCTTTTTGAATGAGATGCTGGCAAGTCATAAAGCCCACTGATCCAGTGCTGTTCAGTGCATTTTTACGTTACAAACTGTGGCCTGAAAACATATTAAAACATGTTCCTTCTTTTTCTCCCTCAGATAAACTACTAGTTTTTACTGTAGCAACTAAGGAAACTGATGGCTTTCACCGTTTCATGCAAACTGCAAAGCACTTCAACTACACAGTAAAGGTATTGTATGTTTTCATATCAAATATTCATACTATACAGTACGTAAGACTTAAACATATGTTTAAGACAAACAGTGTGATAGTAACTGAAGTTGCACTAGCTTCCCACATGTTAGGGCAAAGTAAAACAATTACAGAGCTTGGGGGCACGTAGGGCACTTGCACGTGGCCCTGCTGCTGTCCCTGTTGCTTACCTGCTTGGTCCCCTTCTGAATGACCATGGGAGCATGCTTTTTCTACTGCCGTAGGACCTGTTTTACAGATTAGTAGCTATTGTGATCAGCGTCCTCAGTCACTTACAGGTTCTGTCATGATTTATCATATAGCCTTGCTTTTCAGCGCAGCTGATTTTGTTTGCATGACTACTTATGGAAGCTGCACTACACTCAGGGCTTTGGATGTCTCTTTCTTCCTCAAACAAGGCTGGATCCCTGGTGCAGGGAAGCAGGGAGGGTCATAACTGAAAGTTTCACTGTGTTTCCCAGGAACCTGTAATTGTCTGAGAGGACAAAATGTTTCTATCATTCTTGCCAGCCTTTTCTGCCTTGTTCCACATCTACATATGTCACGTACTGAGGTTGATCTTGGGAAAAGGGGAGGGCACTAACCTTCTTCTAAACTTTGTCCACAAATTGGTTCTGCAAGAGAAAATCTAGGAATTCAGATGGTGTTATGAAATTTTTCCGCTTACTTACCACAGCGTCTACACTATAAATAGGAAATTATTTGGGTCTCTGAAGTTTGACTTCTCCTGCTGAACTTGGAAGACTGAGAGAACCTTTCCTAATATGATAATGCCGTACTAAAGCACCCGAGAAGCCTGAGCTCTGGATACGTCTATGAGCTTTGCAGATTTGTCCAAAACATCATGCAGTGTAGTTCTTCCAGGTTTTATAAGTTCCAAAAACATTATGTTCAAAACCCACAAAAAGTTTAAGGGTTTTTTCTTTTTTTGAGATGTAATTCACTGTAGTGCTTGGCTAGGGAGGAGTTTAACTGATTTTAGCAGCCAGCTGTATATCGGGGAACCTATCCTTTCCTTCTGAAAAAGTGTTCTGGAGGGACTTCAGAAAGACTGGAGCTTGCATTTGTATTAATAATACCCTGATCCACCAAAGTCTCCTGTTCCTAAAGTGATTATATTGACTTTTAATGGTCTCATTCAGAATGTTTTTCTAGTACAAATTTTGAAACAATTACTAGCTTTTTTCTTTTATTTTCTGAAGGAGACACATTTGAATAAATGGTGGTAGCAGGCAATTGCTCAATTCTTATTTGGTTAAGAAATGTGTGTCTCATGTTTTTGCAGTGATGTCATTGTGCTGAATGCTGCTTCAGACATGGAAGACTTACGGTGCTGGAAATGCTGGCTTGCTATGCTTTAATGTGTTGCTTCTGCTTTAACATCTGTTTTCAGTAAGGGTCTGCTTTAAAAAGCCTGTTTTGGGGTACTAGCAAAAAGTGCTTTTTTTTCTTATTCCAGGTACTTGGAAAAGGTGAAGAGTGGAAAGGTGGTGAGCTGCCTAACTCTATTGGCGGAGGGCAGAAAGTTCGACTGCTGAAAGAAGGCATAGGAAGCTATGCTAATCAAGAGGACTTGGTTGTAATGTTTGTTGAATGGTGAGCAAACCTGGCTTGTTGCATTTACATTTTAGTCTGGGTAGGCATGCAAAAGTAGCTGCTGTGCCGTGCTGAAAGTTGCATGCTGCTTTTCCCCCTCGCTGTTTATTTGAGAAGAGTTTGCTTCCATTTTTCTCCATTCATAAGAATAGTAGATTGCTCTTGGAGTAAGCGTTACTTTTTAACAGATTTACAGATGAAAGAGTTGTTCATAGTTCTCCTGCCTTGAGGAGGTAAAAAAATGTTATTGGGAGCTGACAGGCTTTTAGGCAAGTGTTTGTCCTCTCCCTGCTCAGCTGTAGTGAGAGCAGGACGTGGCTGCGGTCTGGGAGTGTGGAATGGGGGGGGGAGCAAAAGCAGCTCCAGAAATAAAGTGGCCAGCAGGGACCAGAGCATGATCTTGTTCCATGAAGTAACAGTGATATGGAGGAAGTTGGAAAACAGGCCCCTGCGGAAAGCACTTAATAGGAGAACTTCTTTTACATGTTGGAGAACTGAAACAAGAGTCTTGGTGCCAGACATACCCCTGGTGCCTGTGCTGTCTGTGTGATGAAGGATGGAGAGGCAGTGCTGCTGCAGGTGCCAGACTACAGCTCATAGCACAGCTATGCTTGAACATCCTCACTGGAGGCCAGATCGGTTTCTCCCTGTCACAGAGAACAGGAAGCTCAAACATGTTCAGATCCCGCTTTTTCCATTGCTTCCCTCTGCTCCCCCCCCCCCCCATCTTCCCCTCCCTGTACAAGAG